ATGGGGAAGAAAGGAAAGGATTTTGAGATGGAGGGGAAAAAAATGTGTCAAATCTTTTACGTTCTCTCGCTTCTTGGGGGAATGCAAAACGCTTTGTTTCCCATCACTATGTCCCGTTGGGGGCTCCGTAGAACTCAAAAGGTTTTGCGAATTGCGAGCGAAGGCAAAGTTTCTTTGGGGAACGTTAAACGTTTGGGAGCGACCTCAAGTTTCTCTGGGGAACGCAGAGATTGTGCGAGCGAACGCAAAGAAACGCATTTGTTCACTTCAAGTTCTTCTTGTAAGTTCAAAAGCATTGACTTATTATTTTTCCTCCCATCTCATATTTTTCCCACTACGATGATGGCCCTTTAGGGCTCCTTATTACCTCACAATTCTGAGAAAAAAGTCATATTATCGAGATATAACCGTGAATAATTTCATAGAAATTTAGATAATCCGAAATACTTTCGCAATTGTGATTGTGAGATAAAAAGTCGTAAGTAATTACCTTCCTTCGAAGTGTCCATCGAAAAATCCAGTCATCTGTCTGCCATGCCAGGGTTTCTTTCCTAAAGGGAAATGCAGGGTGTTCTAATGCAGATGATGAAGAACTAATTATTATTTTTTTTAAATTAAAACAACTAATTAATTTTAAACATAAAAAACAATCTAAAACTAAAGAATTGATAAAAAGATCAAATATTTTATTTGTTTACCTGTAGCCTATGTCATGTGACCATTAACCACGAACATGTGTTGTTACATTTTTGTAATATTAATTTAAAATCTTAGAGGGTGCTTTAAGTATATATTTTAGGTCAATGTTTTTCGGCTGAAAAACAAATTTGTGAATCCTTATGCAGAGTTCTGTCTGTGGCGATACAGTGTTGGCATAATAATATTATATACTAATAAGCGCGCGCCCTCGTCTGGTTACAGTGTGTTTTACACTCTTCCCAATGTGTCTGTAGGATAAAGCCATCAGTGCCAGAGAACTGCAGCACGTGTTGAACAGTGTTCTGAGCAGAAGTGAGTCCGTCACCATATTCAAGCTTTTTAATCCAAGAATAGTTTCTGTATTCAGTGATGAACATGAATGCTAACAACAGGTCATGTCGCCCTGTCTCTCTGCAGGAAAAGAGGTGAAGTTTGATGGTCTGACCCTCAACACCTGCCACAGCATCATCAATCTGATGGATGTATCCTCTCAAGGGCTGTCCATGTCTTATTATTAGTCTAAAAATAAAACGTAACTGGTGTCCCAAGCTTAATTATAGAAACTAACATGTAAACTTGTGAAAGTCTAAAAAACTGTTGTCAAGTTTGGTATGTAGGGAATATGACTATGATACGCCTATAATTGTGTGGCTCAGTTTTCCTGAACCGAGTACAGGTGGATGGCTCGGGAATGCTGGAATTCGAGGAGTTCAAAGTCTTCTGGGATAAGCTGAAGAAATGGATCGTGAGTTACCGAATCATGCATTCACTCGTTGGTTTATCATGAGTTAGCATATTTCTCAGAATCAGAGAAAGTTGTGTCCTCTGCTGTTGTAGATGCTGTTCCTGTCGTATGACACGGATCATTCAGGACGCATGTCTTCCTACGAGCTCCGCAGCGCTCTGAACTCTGCAGGTAAACACACCTGATGATCAACTATAACAGTGCAATCTAAATAGAGTTATTTAGAAATAATTACTGGTATATGATTTAGACCAGGGGTTTTCAATCTTTTAGATGCAACAGACCCCAAAATATGTCCATTCAAGTAAATAAAAATTAATATTAGAAATATTTCCAAATATTATTTGGAAAATAGTCAAATAATTACTTTTTTTGTAAACATTATAGCACTCTACTCTTAAATGCATTATTTATTTGCATTATTTGCTCGTTTATTTGCTTGTTTTTATGTAAATCAAATTTTTATTTATCTATTTTAATTTATTTTTAAATTCAATAATTAAAAAAAATTTAATTATTTGTTTTAATATATATATATATATATATATATAATTATAATAAATTTTTTTTTTTTTTTTTTAATAAATTAAAATTAATAGATTATATATATATATATATATATATATATATATATATATATATATATATATATATATATATATATATATATATATATATATATATATATATATATATATATATTACGCTGGTTTTTCCCCCTCTCTAAACATTACCATGCACGGACCAGAACTCCCTTCTGAAAACCCCTGATTTAGACCTTGTTTGTGTTTTCTTCATTCAGGGATGCAGTTGAACAATAAGATCTTGCAGTTGGTGGGTCTGCGGTTCGCAGACGAGAATTATGAGATTGATTTTGATGATTACCTGACGTGCATCGTGCGTCTGGAGAACATGTTCCGTAAGTGACGGCGGTGCATTAACATGCGGGCCAATAACCTGAAGGCCTTAGACTCAATAATACTGGAAGTTTCATTGCTGATGTTTCACTGTAATGTCTGCTTTGTCTAAGCAAGCATTTGTTCTGTGCCTGTGTGATTTATTAATAATATTTAGTATATTCCATAACATGTGGATAAAACCTGAGCACTTAAACACAGATTTTGTCATTTGTTACAGGAGTTTTCCAGGCCTTTGATAGCAAAAAGACAGGAGAGATCAGCCTGAACATGCAACAGGTAACGCACCATTTATTTATTTTGCAGTAGTTTCTATACATTGACTAGAATATAAGAATGTAAAGCATGAAAACTTACATACGTCTTATTTAGTAGTTTCCTCATTTAACAACTTTTAACGTTTGATGAGTTTTAAGCTGCTCTCAATCTACTAAAAAATAAGTGTCATGTGTGCCGTTGACAATTCTAGTATTTCTAACATGCGGTCAGGTCAAAATTATAAACAAATCTTCTTTTCTTTACAGTTCTTGATGTTATCCATGAACGTCTGAGGATTCAGCAGGAACAGTGTGATGGACGGGAGTGTTGTTACTGAACAGTTACACACACACACACACACACACACACACACACACACACACACACACACACACACACACACACACACACACACACACACACACACACACACACACACACACACACACACACACACACACACACACACACACACACAGGGTCTTTCCCATTGCTATACTGACTATGGACTCATGTGAAAGTTTTACTCTTGATTGTTTTGTGAACAAAGTCTATAATGTTGTGTTCTCTACGTTTACTGTTATTATTCTGCGATTTGAGGCATATTCACTCTATGGATTTTGCAAGAAATTGTGATAATTGCACGATGTTGCATTCTTCACAGAGCTGCTAAACCGCCAAGTTTTTATCTCGAAAGGTGCATGCATAATGAACAAAATCGGGGCTATAAAAGAATAAAAACTTCAATAAAAATGACTGTGGCTTTTGTTATTGACAAGCTGTGACAGAGCAACCAATCATTGAAATATGTTAATTATACAAATAATAATTTCCATGCATTCTGTCAGTGAATCATCACCAGGAAAAAAATGTATGTAACTAAATGTGACGGGTCAATTTGACCCATTTTGATTTTTGAGTTGACGGAAATACCGGTTAACCTGTTTTTTTATTTTTTATTGACATTTTGTGACTTTCTCATTTAGGGTCAGGAACATGCATACAAAGTTTGAATACGGTGATGTGTTTTGACATGTACACACATAATTTTACGTATGTGATTTTCGTGGGTCATTTTAACCCGCATATTTGAAACGCAATTTGTACAGACCCAAAATAATAAAGTTTCTTGGTTATATTTTGTTATATTAGTTTTTTACAACCTTATGAAACTAAAAAGGAGCTTTTTCCCAAATATATAATATTTGGTCAACCACAGGTGGTAAAAATTAGCTATCATTTCTTTATTCAAGCTATCTGAAATACTATTTAACCTATGTAGTTTTTCTTGAAATTTTGTGACTTTTTCCCATTTAGGGTCATGATCATGCATCCAAAGTTTCAAAACGCAGATGTGAAATGTGCATACATACATTTTTATATGATTTTGATGTTCGTGGGTTAATTTGACCCATATAGCAGCTATTCGAAAGCAACTTTATAGACCCAAACTAAAATTTTTTTGTTGTATGTCAGAGCTCTTCAAGTCTAGTCCTGAAGTGCCAGTGTCAAAAGAGAAAGAGAAGAGGTCATTACTTAAATTAAAAGGAATTTAAACATGAATTAATGTAAATTGTTTGTAGGTCGTGCAAATTGGGCATGTTCTGGTTACTTTTGGATTGAGAGAAGATGACACTGTAATGTTTTATCTCTTGTAAGAATACCAAAAAACAAAACATAAAATAGGTTTACAATTTGAAAACTTACATTCATGAATATAAAATCTACATAGGAATTTTAATTTATTTATTATAAAGCAGGCTTCCACTTCATGAAATCCAAAAATAAGTTTTTTATTTTATTTTTTTATTGCAAAAAATAAAGTACAAATCACAAAAGACTAACAAAATATACATTACAATATACAATATTATAACATGTAAACAGAATACAAAACAGTTTTGCCAGGGGAAGCTTCAGGGCCATTACAAAGAGAAAGAGGACCATATGTTGACAGTTTTAATTGCCTTTTTGTTGTTGGAGCCAGAAATCAGATTACTATAATGTACAACTTCATGGAGAAAAAGTACAAAATTAGTACTTTTCATATTTATGAATGTGAAATTTTGCCAAAAGAATTAATAACAAAAATAACAGTTTCGGGATAAGAAATGCAAAGTCGAGCGTCATCACGATCACGTGACATCCCACATCTAGACTAAACCAAAAGTGAATCAAGGGTGTTTCTGGAACTACACTGGTTGCGTCTATATTTCCTGTTATTTATCCGCTCGCTTCAGAATTTGATTAAAATCCTCATATATAAAAATTAGCCTCATATAATAATATTAACTTGTTGTTCTCTAAGTCAAAATGATCGCATGGACTGTGCTGCTCCCCTTCACTCCGTCGAGATGGTCGCGTCTCAGAAATGGCCGCTGTTGTCCATGTGTTTCGAGCTGACACACGAATCTCTAAGATTTGATTTCACGTTGTTTACTTTTGATAACATTAATGCTATTAATATCTTACATACAAACGCCCAGATAATACACTAACTTGCAAGAATGGTGAGTAATCATATTCTTATTCACATTTTTAGCTGTCATGCTAGTGAATCCATGTGTATAAGTTACTTGTAAATCCCGTTTCACTGTTAATTGTTTATAACGGGTGTTATTTAAACACCAAGTACAGTGACTATGCTCTAAAGAAGACTTGTTTATGGGTTTAGGTTAGTTATGATCCCAAATCTATTTGTGTTACGTAAGCAATCTGTGTTATCATTTTAATAATAATCGATGTGTTTTTATTGTTAAACAGTTGGTCCAAACACCCTAAAGATTCACTAACATTCATCCTAAAGTAACTAAAATGATCCTGCAGTCACGGAATATGGCAGATCTGTGTGTTGGCTGTATTTGAGTTGTGATCTGTGTGTCTCCAGCCTCACAGAAAGAAGAAAGCCTTCATCAATAAGAAGAATGCCGTGTCCTTCCACCTGGTGCACAGAAGTCAGAAAGACCCGCTGGCTGCAGACGAGACGGCACCTCAACATGTCCTTCTGCCCACTGCCAAGGTAAAACAAACCGATTAAACTGGTTTTGTGCTGTTAAACAGTCACAACATCCAAATATCGGCCTCTGGAGCGTGTCACTGAAGTCGCCGTCTGTTCCTGCAGGTGGAGGTGGAGAAGAGGAGGGAGGAACAGCGCAAGTTTGGAGTGTTTTTCGATGACGACTACAATTACCTGCAGCACCTGAGGGAGGCGCCACAGCCCGTGGAGCTCGTCTCCACCCCTCGGGTCCACAGAGACGCTCGCCCGAAGCCTGCTGAGGATGAAGAGGACATGGAGGAAGAGGACGTCCACGTCCCTGTAAGGCTGAACGGCAGCAGCTCCTCCCTGCAGATGCCAGATTTACTTATCTGATAATGTTCTGACACTGATTATATCATTTTAGAAAGTGTATTCACTGACATATTTCCAGTGAAAACAGGAAAATGCGAAGACTTTATAAATGGTTCACATCACGGATATGAATCAGGGTTCATTACTTGTTACTACTAGTCACAAGGAGGTGATATAAGGCCGTGTTTACTCATGGTATTAAGATGCGTTTCGGTCGATCGGATCACAAGTGGACGACACTAAATACAGGTGTAAACAGGGCTTTGAGCTCGTCCACTTTCCACCACTTCCAGAGGAGGTTGAAAACACATCCGACCGGATTGCTTTCATAGTGTAAATGCTCATGTGGTCGAATGTGTTCAAACAGCCACAAAAGACCGTCTTCTCTCCGTCTGCTGATCTAATGCATAACATTATGTAGAGCTCTAGCCAGACGGGGTTTAAATTTTATCGGCTGGAGACCCAAGTTTTGTTTGAAGATGAAAAACATATCAAGCACAATGTTCTCTCATCATTCCTGATTTCTTAAAACACACTCGCAGCGTTCGGCTGATCTTGCGTCTGTCAGAGCAGAAACTAAGGGTGTACTCACACTAGGCACGGTTGCCATGAACCGGGCCCGAGTACGATTGTCCCCCCTCCCCACTCCCCCTCTGGCCTGCACTCACATAGGGTTTCAGCATTCGTGCCGGAGCACGCTTACGTCATTATGGTGCGTGCGACGGTTTCGGGATAAACAAGAAGAGCGGCGCTCTCTGAACACAATGAAGTCCATCGCTCTGTTTTCTTTGTGGATAATTTTGTGTCGTTTGGTCCACGGTGGTCCACAGCCCTCTCACAGCCTGTTGTTAAACAGATGCGTCGCCTTAGTGGCGCGAAAATTTTCACGTAATCGTGCTGCTCGTATGAGGAGGTTTGCAAGGTACCAGCTGAAGTGCAGCAAGGACTTTGCAGCTTTGATTACGGACTGTGTTGGTTTTGGAGCGTGGCAAAACCATGACATCACGCGTCCTGTTCCGTGCTTCAGCACGGTTAGCGCTCACACTGCATGCGAACCGCGCCCGAGTCCAACTGAACCGTGCTCTGGCCCACCTCTTCCAAGCGGGCCAGGGCCGGCTAATCGAGCCGCGCCCGGGCACGGTTCGGAGCACTCACACTAGTCAAACGAACCGCGCTTTGGTGGTCAAACGCACTCGGGCACGGTTCAAACTGGCTAGTGTGAGTACACCCTAAAGCTGATGCTTTCCGTGTTTTTCCGTCTCTCCGGTCGCGTTCATATGTTAATAGCGAGTGCTTATTTCGTCCATTAGATCGAAAGATCTGAAAACACACACATTTACCCGCCCATAGACCCTCCCCTCGATGAAATCAGGACAGAAGTGGCTAAAAGTGGACAAAAGAGACGGATTAAAACACCAGGTGTGAACGGGAATGTGTCTCCCTCGTCTACCTGTGATCCGATCGACCAAAACTCCTCTTAATACCAGGAGTAAACAGGGCCTTTAAGGACAAAAATTTACCTGTAGACTTCCATTCCTGTCAAATATTAAATATGGCACCGCTAACCCCTTAATTAGGGTCCTTTTTCCTTGAAGAATGAGGTTTTAAATGTTAAATGTGGTCTTATTACCTGTGGTTATTTTTACTGAAAATATTTAGTAGTGTTTGACAACAAACAGTGTTGCGGTTCAGTTGTGTCTCTTGCAGATGATAAGCATCATTACGCTCGTGTGTTTGTTGCCCTGCTGAAGTTTTCTGTTGATTGTGTGTCGTGCAGGCGGTTTCCATCAACCTGCCCTCGTCTGTGTTCGCGTCAGAGTTTGAAGAGGAAGTGGGTTTATTAAACAAAGCTGCTCCTGTTTCAGGTGAGGCGGACCGAGATCAGTATCAGTCCTGCTCATGTGGCTGCAGAAAACACCTTTCTTTTACTTTATTTAAAATCATGCCTCATTTAATTGATCAAAAGTGACAGTAAAGACATTTATAATGTACAAAAAAGATTCTTTTTCAAATAAATGCTGTTCTTTTAAACTTTATACATCATAAAATCCTGAATAAAAGTATCACATTTTCCATTCAAATATGAACTGTTTTCAACATTAATAATAATAATGTTTCTTGAGCATCAAATCGTCATATTAGAATGATTTCTGAAGGATCACGTGACTACGAACTGTAGTTTTAGTGTGATTATTTTTTGCAGCAGTGAATGTTGTTGAAGAAACTGCCAAATCCAAATGAGACGATGCTAATCTGTTTGTTTGCATTTTGATTTACAGGGCCGCGGTTGGATCTGGATCCTGACATTGTTGCTGCGCTGGATGAGGACTTTGATTTTGACGACCCCGAGAACATGCTGGAAGATGACTTCATCATCAAGGCCAATGACATCATGGGTGACGCGCGGTAAAACTGACAAATGACAGAAAACGTGTAACGGCAATAAATGAGCCAGATCGTTGTTAACCGAATGGACTGAATATGTTAAATGTTAGTCACCCAAAAATAAAAATGTCATCATTTACTCGCCCTCATGTCGTTCCAAACCTGTAAGACTTTCGTTCATCTTCAGAACACAAATGAAGATATTTTTGATGAAATCTGAGAGATTTCTGTCCCTCCATTGACAGTCTACGCAACTACCACTTTAAGGTTTAAAAAAGTTCATAAAGAGATCGTAAAACGAATTCATATGAATTGAGCGGTTTAGTCCAAATTTTCTGAAGAGACATGATCGCTTTATATGATGAACAGATTTATTTAATTTATTCACATATAGACAAAAATCTTTATGAACTTTCTAAAGCGTTAAAGTGACAGTTGTGTTGCTGTCAATGGAGGGACGGAAATCTCAGATTTCATTAAAAATATCTTCATTTGTGTTCTGAAGATGAACAAAAGTCTTACGGGTTTGGAACAACATGAGGGCGAGTAAATGATGACTGAATTTTCATTTTTGGGTGAACTAGACCTTTAAATGTTAAGTATGTTTGGATTTGTTGGATTTCAATGAGTTGAATGCTTGAACCTACATCAGATGGCATCACCAATTTCCTTTATTTTTGACCCTTAGTGGGGATGATGGTGATGATGATGATGAGTGGGAGGACACGGATGAGGAAGATGATGAGGAAGATTATAACTCGGCTGGTCTGTCGGATGAGGAAGGCGCCCGGAGAGAGTTCATGTTTGCCGACTGCGAGACGAAGAGTCGTTTTACGGAGTACTCGCTCACATCCTCCGTCATGAGGAGGAACGATCAGCTCACGCTGCTGGACGACCGCTTTGAGAAGGTCAGTCAGAAGACCTTCCTCACAGATAATGAGGAACATGAGGGCCTGTTCATATTCAGGGCATATTTCTCCATCAATGTAATCCTTACAACACAGCAACAAAAAAAAAAAAATCAGCAACCAATTTTTTTCTTTCTTTTTTTCTGGGTAGTTTAAAAAAAGTCGCCAACCAATGTGATAGTATGGGTTTTCTTTTCTATTAAATATAGCAGTTTTTTAACCTCCTAGTTTGTATATTGCATTAAACCGTGTAAAAAAAATTTTTTAAATCAATTAAAAAGTTTTTGCTGAGCTTGATTAAAATTAACGTCAACATGTAACAAGCAAAAAATATATTTGTTTCTCAGTTGTACAAGCATAAACATGATTTATTAATGTAATAGGAATTTCTGAAGGATCATGTGACACTGAAGATGCTAAAAATTCAGTTTTTGATCACAGGAATAAATTACATTTGACCATATATTCACATAGAAAACAGTTACCTGAAATTGCAATAATGTTTCACAATATTACTGTTTTTACTGTATTGTTGATTAAATAAATGCAGCCTTGGTGAGAGAAGAGACTCTTTCAAAAACATGATACACAGATTTCTTTCTCAATTGTACAAGCCAAAACACTGAATGACTTAAACCATAAACCGGATTTATTTTTAATGTACACTTGTATTATAAAGCATGATTGCGATGATCTAAAAACAGTGATTGAGTGTTTGTTGTGTTGTTGAATAGTTTTTCGAGCAGTTTGACGATGACGAGATCGGAGCGCTGGATAACGCAGAGCTGGAGGGATACATTGAACCGGACAGCAACCGACTGGAGGAGATCATCAAAGACTACTTCATACAGAAGGAGAAAGAGTGAGTGTGTGTGTGTGAGACTGTCACAACGTGTGTGTGAGAGACTGTCACAGCATCTGTTTGTGTGTGTGAGACTGTCACAGCATGTGTTTGTGTGTGTGTGAGACTGTCACAGCATCTGGTTGTGTGTGTGAGACTGTCACAGCATCTGGTTGTGTGTGTGTGAGAGACTGTCACAGCATCTGTTTGTGTGTGTGTGAGACTGTCACAGCATCTGGTTGTGTGTGTGTGAGACTGTCACAGCATCTGTTTGTGTGTGTGAGAGACTGTCACAGCATCTGTTTGTGTGTGTGAGAGACTGTCACAGCATCTGTTTGTGTGTGTGAGACTGTCACAGCATCTGTTTGTGTGTGTGTGAGACTGTCACAGCATCTGTTTGTGTGTGTGTGAGACTGTCACAGCATCTGTTTGTGTGTGTGTGAGACTGTCACAGCATCTGTTTGTGTGTGTGTGAGACTGTCACAGCATCTGTTTGTGTGTGTGTGAGACTGTCACAGCATCTGTTTGTGTGTGTGTGAGACTGTCACAACGTGTGTGTGTGTGTGTGTGTGTGTGAGAGAGACTGTCACAGCATCTGTTTGTGTGTGTGAGACTGTCACAGCATCTGTTTGTGTGTGTGTGAGACTGTCACAGCATCTGTTTGTGTGTGTGTGAGACTGTCACAGCATCTGTTTGTGTGTGTGTGAGACTGTCACAGCATCTGTTTGTGTGTGTGTGAGACTGTCACAGCATCTGTTTGTGTGTGTGTGAAACTGTCACAGCATCTGTTTGTGTGTGTGTGAGACTGTCACAGCATCTGGTTGTGTGTGTGAGACTGTCACAGCATCTGGTTGTGTGTGTGTGAGACTGTCACAGCATCTGGTTGTGTGTGTGAGACTGTCACAGCATCTGTTTGTGTGTGTGTGAGACTGTCACAGCATCTGTTTGTGTGTGTGTGAGACTGTCACAGCATCTGTTTTTGTGTGTGTGAAACTGTCACAGCATCTGGTTGTGTGTGTGAGACTGTCACAGCATGTGTGCGTGTGTGTGAGAGAATGTCACAGCATCTGGTTGTGTGTGTGAGACTGTCACAGCATCTGGTTGTGTGTGTGAGACTGTCACAGCATCTGGTTGTGTGTGTGAGACTGTCACATCATGTGTGCGTGTGTGTGAGAGACTGTCACAGCATCTGTTTGTGTGTGTGAGACTGTCACAGCATCTGGTTGTGTGTGTGAGACTGTCACATCATGTGTGCGTGTGTGTGTGAGACTGTCACAGCATCTGGTTGTGTGTGTGAGACTGTCACAGCATGTGTGCGTGTGTGTGCGAGACTGTCACAGCATGTGTGCGTGTGTGTGCGAGACTGTCACAGCATCTGTTTGTGTGTGTGTGAGACTGTCACAGCATCTGTTTGTGTGTGTGTGAGACTGTCACAGCATCTGTTTGTGTGTGTGTGAGACTGTCACAGCATGTGTGCGTGTGTGTGAGAGACTGTCACAGCATCTGGTTGTGTGTGTGAGACTGTCACAGCATCTGGTTGTGTGTGTGAGACTGTCACAGCATCTGTTTGTGTGTGTGAGACTGTCACAGCATGTGTGCGTGTGTGTGAGACTGTCACAGCATCTGTTTGTGTGTGTGTGAGACTGTCACAGCATGTGTGCGTGTGTGTGAGAGACTGTCACAGCATCTGTTTGTGTGTGTGAGACTGTCACAGCATCTGGTTGTGTGTGTGAGACTGTCACAGCATGTGTGCGTGTGTGTGTGAGACTGTCACAGCATCTGTTTGTGTGTGTGAGACTGTCACATCATGTGTGCGTGTGTGTGTGAGACTGTCACAGCATCTGTTTGTGTGTGTGAGACTGTCACAGCATCTGTTTGTGTGTGTGTGAGACTGTCACAGCATCTGTTTGTGTGTGTGTGAGACTGTCACAGCATGTGTGCGTGTGTGTGAGAGACTGTCACAGAATCTGTTTGTGTGTGAGAGACTGTCACAGCATCTGTTTGTGTGTGTGAGACTGTCACAGCATCTGTTTGTGTGTGTGTGAGACTGTCACAGCATGTGTGCGTGTGTGTGAGAGACTGTCACAGCATCTGGTTGTGTGTGAGAGACTGTCACAGCATCTGTTTGTGTGTGTGTGAGACTGTCACAGCATCTGTTTGTGTGTGTGTGAGACTGTCACAGCATGTGTGCGTGTGTGTGAGAGACTGTCACAGCATCTGGTTGTGTGTGTGAGACTGTCACAGCATCTGTTTGTGTGTATGTGTGTGTGTGTGAGACTGTCACAGCATCTGTGTGTGTGTGAGACTGTTGTAGCAAATTAGCTCTATGAAATATTAATAAAGAATCATAACTTGTTATAATTGATTATGAATATTTGGATCAGTTAATCGGGTTAACTTGATGTAGCTTCATCCCGTGAACACTCAATATTGGTTATTAATTTATTAATAGAAATGTACATTTCTGGGGCGTGGGAAATGTCTTTCTTACTAAGTACTACTAAGAGCAAGTAGTCAAGATCTATGATTAGTGACTCCAGATATGAGCTTGAGACATGGATAACTTTACATGTGATATGAACAAGACTTTATTAACTAGACTAAACATTTAAACTACTCTAACATACAAATACATGCATACAGTTTTTTTTAAAGCGTGAAGATATCACACCCTCTGGAGGTGCGTGAGCCAATACGAAGCGGTCCCTTTGGAGGGAGTTTTTACGACCCTTTGTGTTCTAGCCGGGCATTTTTTGAATGTGTAATTTCATTGGGTGTTTACGAAAAGAATCTACAAGATTCTTATAATACCAGTGCGTCATAAAGTTAGCAAAACCATAGTATGGTTAACCATAGTAAGTAAGTCATGTCTCAGACCAAAATAGTTTAGAAGAGAGAATGGAGACATAGGCCAAACCACATAAAAGGAAAATCATGAGATGGAACATTAGATGCATGTTAATACATTTATCACATGGTTATATATATAGGATTAAAAGGGTTCATTTCTAGCCTGGTTAAAACCAGACCATTCTCAGTTGTAACTGAGTTATGGTCTGGCAAAGCGTCATAGACAAATCATTTCCAGAGGGGCGTCACCAACGGACGTCGCGGATAGACCTAAACCCAATCAGAGCGATGAAGGAGATGACGTATGCAGAGCAGCGGAGAAACATCTCCGAGTGTTGTTCTTTGCTCGGTTTTTAACTAAAAGGAAACGTTCAAATGGCTTAAAACAGACGCGATAGCTGATTCGAACGAGTGATGTTCGACGGCGGCATCCATCTTTGTAATGTAGCCTACAAAATCTGCTTCAAAACCCCAGCGCTGTCGTCATCGTGTAAAGCCCGCCCCAACGTTTCTGATTGGTGCCTCGATTTCGACGGATTGGAAATGGGCTTGAATGAGCTCTTTGCCAGACTAACTTTCAGAGCCCATCTAAATCTGCCGGAAGTTGTCTGGGTTTTCCCAGGCTCGTTCATTTCTCCTTCTCAGCAAGAATTAAGTCACAATTCCCCGCACGTTCTTTTGTGTCGTAAAACTTATCAGTCTTACTGTGTCATGTAACAGGACACCGAGTTCTGCCAGTGTGTTACCTTGATTTGGGGGACGTTTCACAGACCTTTGTTGGGATAGTGAGTTTGCTGGATTATTCATTAAACATAATGAATCATTTGTGTGTGTCTGATTGGTCCAGACGCTACACTGTCACAGTGTGTGTGTGTGTGTGTGTGTGTGTGTGTGTGTGTGTGTGTGTGTGTGTGTGTGTGTGTGTGTGTGAGATCACTCCTCTCATCATTTAACCTGTGTGTGTGTAGATGTCAGAAACTAGATCAGCTGGGTCCTGCAGAGCTGGCCTCCGTGAGAGAGGACGATGAAGATGACGAAGGCGATGAAGAGGCAGCGATTGATAAGATGGTGGTAGAGCCGTCTGCAGAGCGCTGGGACTGTGAGACCATCATCAGTGAGTCTGAATCCATACGGTTATCAGTGCACTGCACTTTCTGATGCCATGCAAGGATGTGAATGGATTATTCATTTAGAGGATTTTAATATATTCTTTGACATATATTTGATGGCCATACATATATACATCAACATACTGTATATATACAAATTCAACAGTTTCATACAATTCAAAAGTTTATTTTCATGATTATCCATTCATCTGCCATATGGAGATATCGTGTCTTCATAGTTCAGAGCCTGAATCCCGAGAGATGCTGGAGTTTCAGGAGTTTGAATGAAGCTGTAACTCAGGTGTGATTGATCATGTTCATCTTCCTCTCTCAGGCACTTACTCCAACCTCTACAACCGGCCCAAACTCATCCAGGACCCTCCAAAGGTGAAGAAACACGTGTCTCATGTCTCATTCGGGCCAGGGATATTTCAGAAAGTGTTATTTCTTTACACAGATGAAAAAGGCTAGAGTGAAATTCACTGGAAATTCAATTTCCAATTCAAATCCACATACATTTTGCATGTGAACCAAATTGAAGATGTGGTTTGAGTTACGCAGACACGGAAGCAAACATACTATATTTGTACTAATAAGATTGTGAAGTTGTGTATCATCTATTTGAAATGTGATTTGATCTTTTATTAATCAATTGATATTAATCTTAACAAATATTACCCCGCCATATGAATTCATGTAGTTAATGGATTTTAAATGCATTAATTCATCAAGCTCATTCATAGTATATGCAAATAATAATGCTATTATTATGGGCCGCACGCAAACCTATGCTGTTTACTCTCTCTTTGCAATAGTTTGCATGCAATCTATCATAGCCAGAACACATTTCAGAGGTCATTAGGGCAAAAGATGTTTGTTCAGAGGGATGGACAGGGTTACAAAAGGATTTATAGAGCTTTAAAACGCATTACCTGATAAACACTTAAAGACGTGGCACAATGCAAACAGTAGACCAGTGCATGTCGCTTGCAACGCGAAGGTTAAGGGTTTGATTCCTAGGGAATGCATGAACTAATACCAGGTATTTTTTTTGAACGCAATGCATGTTGGTTTGGATAAAAGCATCTGCCAAATGCATTAATTGTTAATATGTGTTTGCAGCCCAAGCAGATCCGGGTGTCCGATAAGACGGGGATTCCCCTGGACGTTCTAGAGAAACGAGGCCCGACGGCCAAACAGGTGGAGAGGATGGAGAGGATAAACGACTCGGACCTTCCCAGAGCCTCAACACAGCCCCGCTCGCGGGACGAGAGCATAGAGGAGAAGAGAGCCAGGAAACAGGCCATCAAGAGCGAGAGGAAGGTGCGTACGGCAGCGCCTCGTTTGTCGAATCTGACGCGTCATTCTTTTAAAGTCCTCCTGGATTCAACTTTATCCCTTAAAACTCATCTTTGATCACCAAAATGACATACTAAAACGTTTTTTTCCTGTGAAAAAAAATGTCTTCATGCCTTAAAATAGCTTGAATGTAACTCGACACCCTTGCTTCATTTAGTATACGTGGTTCTATGAATATGCAAATGAGCCCCGCCTCCACTCACTCACTCGGCTCAGAGATCCACTCGTTGACGATCACACGTTGATCTGATTGGTTACAAGGTAGTGTGTGACGTCAGAAACACCAGCGATTTCAAACCGTGTTTTTGAGGCTGTCTTTGGTTCACTGCAGTTTTAAGCAGAAAATACTCAGCAATGCTGTCGACTTATGAATTTACACATGGTTTGTCTTAAAGCACATTAAAAACACCACATTAAAACCTTGATTTTTCACCACAGGGGGACTTTAAAATATGATCGGTTGCAGTTTATGTTGTATTTACCAGTGATTATCCACCTTGTGTTATTGCCTGTCAAACATTATTAGCTTATTAAGGAGACTTTTTTTTCTTGTTTTACAATAAAACCGGTGGGAATAATCCGTCAGAACTACATTGAAGGAGGAAATGGGCTTGTATTTAACCACTTGGCAGCATATATAGCTAAAAAGCACTGAACATTCACAGTTTTTCCTTCATCGTTTCAGGAGAGGAGGACAGAGAAGAAAGCCAACAAACTGGCGTTCATGCAGGAGAAACAGATGCAGGAGAAACAGATGGTTAATTTAAGAGCAAACGTTCAGGGCATGAAGCTCTCGTAGGACGGCAGAGACTGCTCCGGACACCAGCGGAGACTATAGGACCTTACTGAAGACATGATAACATCATTTACCTTACCAGGACTTCCATGTTTTATTCTACTCATGCAGTGAATAAGCAGTTCTAAATGATGTTTATGAATAGTATTGCCATGGATACATCACAATGAATGGAATGTATAGAACTGTTCTATTTATCAGGCTTGACTGTTTAAAGGTAAATATTTATGTACTAAAATGTAATTAAACCTATTCATCACATAAAAAAATAATAAAAAAAGTCCAACCATTTTTAAATACAAAATCCCAATCCCACTTTTAATAAAAACATTTAATCGCATTTTAAGACAATATTGAACTCAATGCAAACTATCAGCTGCCTGTAAGCTGGACAGGACGGCTTCTCAATCTCATGATATGTGCATAAATGTCATTCACAACAGTGAACAATAAACAACTTTGACCTGAAATAAACGTTCCTGTTTTCATCTGGATGTGCGCTTGAAGATCTGCTACATGACAGTCTGCTTAAATAATGTTCCCCATCATGTCGGAATTACAGCAATTATGAGTTTCTGAGTTGTGTGTTCACATTTTTGTTGGAAATTGTCATTTGCAAGCTGGAAGTATTTTATAGAAGCTCTGGCATGCAAAAACAGAAGTTAACTTGTGCATACACACAGCCATCCAAAAGTGTGTCGTCGGTAAGATTTTTCAATCTTTTTGAAAGAGGTCTCTTCTGCTCACCAAGGCTTCATTTATTTGATCAAAAATACAGTAAAATTGTGAAATTTTTTACCATTTGAAATAACAGTTTTCTATGTGAATAAAACGTAATTTATTCCTGTGATCAAAGCTGAGTTTTCAGCATCATTACTCCAGTCTTCAGTGTCACATGATCCTTCAGAAATCACTCTAATATGAGGATTTGATGCTGAAGAAACATAATCAATGATGAAAACAGTTGTTTGCTTCATATTTGCGTGGAAAATTATGCTTTTTTCAGGAATTAATGTGTCCTTGCTGAATAAACACATACAGACCACAAACATTTGAACGGTATGTGTACATATGATGTGCCATTTTATTAAAGCTCATGATACCTGGTGTATTTCATATTTAAAATAAATAATGAGGTGAATTAATGTATTATTTTGCTGTCAGTCTCAACTGTCAGAACTGCTAAATGAGTGATCCGTTTGTGTTGTGAGTGAGTGTTGCCATAGAAACAAACAAAATACATCGGTTACTCTGCCATGGCAGTCACATGACCTGAGCAGCACTTGTAAATAATGTTGTAAATCTTTGTTCACAAGCCAAAGGAAATGTTTCTGGCCGTCCTGAAGATACACATGTTTTTACACAAGTTTCGATTCATATGAAAGCAGGAGTGCCATTGTAATGAAGACAAAAGCCAAACACGTTTTTCAATTCTGCCACGAACCGGAAAAACTCAGGAAAATTCCATTTCGTGATGTCATGTGAGGGCTTGTATTTGTATGAACAGTCATAACCTGTGTCATTTTCCCAGAACTTCCCGGAGACGGGTGCTTTTACTGTCTGTATGGGACTTTCCTTCACTTCTAGACCTGCCTTAGGGAGTCTCTAGAGCCCGTAAGCTTTCACCATATCTCCAGGACTCATCTCCAGCCTGAGTTCGTGTGGGCAGTCGTAGCCACTCGAAGTGTCGCCCGCATCGGCTTCATCAAGGTCATTATCCCCGTACGGACTTGCATTGTCCAGGTCACGGCCTCCCACATCCTCGTCACCGGAGGACGCCTCCTCGTCGCCACACATCTCTATTAACGTGGTTTGCTCTTTGGGTTCGATGTGCAGTTCACTGGCCACAGCCTCCGGGTTAAGTTTCAGCGGTTCGCACAGGTGTGTTTGTGTTGGCTTGAAAACCTACCAAACCAGAAGGAGACAAGTTACAGTCACTGTGCAGCCCTGTGTGGGAATGCTGTTGGGCAACAAATTCACACCAAAGACATAAGGACTAATTTGGTTAAAAACTGACTAATTAAAGGGATAGTTCACCTAAAAAAGATGTTTGGGAGAACATCGGGAAGCAAACAACACTGGACCCCATTGAGTTTTGTCGTAAGGAATTAAATACACTGAGACATCTGATGTTTTGATGACAGAAAGTATTTTGGAATCACGTGAGGTCGAGTAAATGATGACAAAAATGTCATTGTTTGGGTGAACCGTCCCTTTAAACCAGAGATACGTGTGGTTTTATAGCTTAGGTTCGCCGGCCCACATTTGAATGGTGATTAGTGCTTTTTTTTTTATTTAGCATGATTTATATACTAGTATTTAGTTGTTTTTTTTAAATAGCTTTTTTTTGTTATTTGAATTTTAGTGGCTTTGCTATAGTTTCACAAACAGGTTAGCATGATCTGCTATATTTCATTTTAGTTATTTTAGAACTATAACTTATTTTATTTCAGTTAGTTGCCAAGGCAACATATCTAGATTTTGGGGTTTTCTTCTAATATTTCTAATATTTTACTATTTTAAAATAGTGTTTATTTTTATATTTTCAGTTTTCAATTAATTTGAGTAATTTTGTTATGCGCTTTTTATATTTTATTAGCTTTCTTGTATTTCTATTTAGTTTTAATTTATATATATATATATATCTATAATTTAAATGTAATTTTAGTACTTATTTTATTTCAGTTAGTTGCCAAGGTGATGTGTCTAGTTTTCTTAAGTTTTTTTAAGTTACATATTTCGTAAAATATTAATCTTTATTCAAAATATCACTTTACTGTGCTGTAATACTTCTGCCTGGATTTTTTAACTGACACGTCAAAATTTGTCAAGTCTGAACTCAAACAAAAAATTGTGACACTGTAGTGCTGTTCAATTCGTAGACATTTATATGTGTTTTTTAATGTCTTGCATAAACTGGATTGTGCACCAATGACGTAAATACACAGATGAAGGATAATTATCAATATATATATATATATTATAATGAACAATTGACACATACATATTGAGAACAGGTCAAACATCAACTTACCAAAAAATTGGGAAACGCAGCCATAGATTTCTTCTTAATTTCCGAGTAACATTTCTTCACTAGCAGCATAATGATGCCGGTTGTGAAGAGCAACGATAAGACGACCCCCAGCACTGGATACAGGTACACGGTGAACGGTGGATCTGTGTGGAAGAACGAAAAACATCATCCTCAGCTGTGCGTTTGTCTTTTAATATCCTTTGATATAGCTGGGTTTCGGTTTCATGCCTGGTACCCATGTCTGTTTTGTCTCGTGTAAAAAATTATTTTCCTTGGTAAAATCTGCTTTAATTGGAAACCTAATTTGTTGAAAGTCAAAAAGTTTGGATGCATCTACTAATGACTGGTTATGACTAGTTTCTACATTTTGAAATTTCACAATTCGATTCAATTCCCCTTTAAATTCTTTTCGATTTGCTGTTGATTCATTTGGATATATATCAGGTGTAGCCTACAGCACATCTACCTTTCTCAAGGAAAAAAATACGTAAAAATTAACTGATTTGTATACAAACATTTAAATTGCACATAAGGCAGTTTTTATAATAACTTTTTATGACGTAGTTATGTTTCTACTCCAACTCGTTTTTTAAAATATAAACATTTAAACAGTTGATAAAAACGCATTTGTGTTATGGATTTATACAAACATATTAAATATCGAAGAACAGGTTAAGTAAAAATATAACAATGCATATATTTAGAAAAATGCTCAATTTTTCTCGCTGTCAATCAAGCTTTTCTGAGGTAAATGTGACATATTGTTTACAAGCTGATTTATTGACGTCTTTCCACCGTTGAAACCCTGATTCAGCGATTACATGAGACAGGATACATTTCAGTAAGTTGTATTGTATTTTTCAACATACTTTCTGGTGTTCATTAATGTTTATTTCATTAACATTATAACTACTAGTAAAGCGGAAGAGATGATCGGTTCACGTGCCACTTCGGCGATCTGTCACGCCACATTAAGAGCGCCAAAACTGCATTTATAGTTTGAATTTCATAAGAATTGTAATATGAGACTTTGTTTCATATTAAAAGTAACAAAGCTCAAAGCTTTATTGGATAAGAGGCTCGCTGCAAATGTTTCACGCATCACCTGAAAAGAGCGTACACTTCTTCGTTTAGGGCTAAACTTCTTCGTCACAGCTGTCACGAAGGGCAAAATTAGCTATATAGACCAAAACCACTTTTTGCACAAGGCTGTAAACACAGTTTTTTGTTGTTGTTGTAAAGTTAGGCATTTTAACATGCAGGTCTATGGGATTGACTCTAGTGACCAGTCGATGAATTACAGTTTAAGTCACTTCAGTGTTGGATTCAAGAGAGAGAAAGGAAGGTTTCTGCTTTGGTTTGAACTCCCAAAACAAACTCCAAGCGAGTTGTTTCGGCCTGATTTTAGTCTGAAATAACGTCACATCAGTTTGTTCTTCGAATTTCGCTTGAATTATATATGGGAGCCTTAATAATCAATTCTTGGGATTTAAGAATCGAAATCGGTTCTTAAAATTGAGAATGGATTGAAATCGAGACAACAATATTTTTGAATAGCCTACTTTGAAATAATAGTAAAGTCATCATAGATATTTACTGATAAAATATGTGTAAATAAAAACTCTTGTTTGTCTATATTTCAAGCACTGTTTACATGGATGCTGCGTTTTCTATATTATCTGCAGTTGAAATGTTGATTTAAATGGCAGTTTGTTTGGCCTTGTGTTATGTTGCGGGTTAATTTGACCCGTTTCGATTTTTTTAGTTGTTGGAAATACTGGTTAATCTTTGTTTTTTTTTCTTGATATTTTGTGACTTTTTCTCATTTATCATGATGAACATGCTCTTATTTCAATATTCAAGATATCTAAAATACCTAGCTTTTAACCAAAACTTTTATGTAGGATTTTCAAAGGCAGCTTCACAGAGCCAAAAAATAAATAAAAAACATTTATTTGATGTATGATTTTGTTATGTTTTGTTTCTCACTTCCCTGTGAGTGAATAATGAAACTAGGGAACTAGGTCTTAGGAAACTAGGGAAAGTTAACTTAGGAAAATTAAAAAGTTTCATTATACAGCAAAATTTTATTGTTCAGTTACGATGTTTAAAGCATAAAAAAAAAAAAAAAAAAGTATATGCAAAAAAAGTCAGTATACTGTTTATTTTCCAATTTTGTCAAAAATTGGTTTAAAAAATGGTTTAAAAACATTTTTATAAATCATATTTTCAGATATAATGTTTTTGTAATGTTTGACAAATGTTGATATTAAAAGTTTACAGTTTGTATCTAAATCTTTGTTGTTTTTCATAGTGTGATTTTTGAGGAATTGTATTGAATCCAATTAGGGTCATTTTGACCCGCTCCATAAAGGGTGTACACAGAATTCGAACAGTGCACAAGGGTTAAATGTGCACTTACAGAATCTTATGTCTCCTTCGAAACAGCTCCCTCTTCTGAGATTGAGTTGTCTATCTCCGATTTGTCCAGTGAGATTGACGCAGTAAACTTCTTTGAGCTCAGAAAACCCAATGGACACCTCGCATCTTTTAGTCTTCATTTCACAGGTTGATTCTGTCCAACCCTGTGGGAAAAAAAGCCACTGAGACTCACACAGGATTTGCAGCAGAAGTGTTTCTGGGCTCCCCGAAACGTTTACAACAGTTAAAAGAACAGTTCACAAAAATGAAATTTTCTGTCATTATATTTATGCACTGTATTTTACTTCAGATATAGACGACCATATAGCAGCACAACTGTTTCCAACATTAATAATCAGAAATGATAATCGTGATTTTAACAAAACTGTTAATTGGTTAACAGAAAGTTTCCGTACTATATACGGTAAATAACTGTGATAGATCTAACGGTACATTTAATGTAAAATACTGTTAAATTTACAGTTTTTGAAAGCGAAAAAGAGCAACTCATTGTATAATTTACAGTGAAAAACCATAAATTGACATTCCCACAATTCCCTGTGTGACACTTCACAGTTTATGTATTTTTGTTGAAATAACTATGCTTCCTCATAGTTTTCTTGTTTTTTTTTCTAATCAGTTATGTACATTAGGGTTTTATGTTAAATTGAATGTTGTATAAAATTAATGTTTATTGCATTTTTTAAAATTTCACGTGTGTTACCATGATGGTGTTTAATGTTTGTGCAAATAACACTGTGCAGCTTCTATATAATAGTATTAATAATCTCCTTGTGGAAGAGCTGCTTGAGATGAGCTTAGATTGATCATGTGACTCAACACTGCTGTGATGATTGTTGGTTGTCAGTGTATAACAATGGTACAAAAAGGATATCAATACTTCAATAGGTTGGTAAATTAACATTATATCAGATAATGAAATACGGTTTATTACTGTAAATTTTAAGTTAAGTCTGTAAAACCAATAACGTTGCTACCGTATTTTTGACGGTAAAGTTCTGGCAACCACAGCTGCCGGTTTTTTACCATACAAATTACGGTATTATTTTTTACAGTGGTGGAGTGATTTCTGAAGGATCATGTGACACTGAAGAGTAATGATGCTGAAAATTCAGCTTTGATCACAGGAATAAATTACATTTTAACATTTATTCAAATATTTGAAATTGTAATAATATTTCACAATATTACTGTTTTTACAGTATTTTTCATCAAATAAATGCAGCCTCAGTGAGGCTATGAGGCTATTTAAATGGTAGAGCACGTACATATTTTCAAGAAGGATTTAATTTTAGGATAAATTTTCCGCACAAAAATATGACTTCAGAAGACTTGAAATATAGCGTCATAAAGCCAAATTTTGAATGTGCTTTTTTGAGCTAAAAATAAAATGCCATTTTTACGGTAAAATACCGGCAGCTGTGGTTGCCAGAACTTTACCGTCAAAAATATGGTACAGACGTTATTGGTTTTATAGACTTGACTTAAAATTTACAGTAATAAACCGTATTTCATTATCTGATATAATGTTAATTTACCAACTTATTTATGTATTAATATCTGTTTTGTACCATTGAAATACACTGACAAACAACAATCATCACAGCAGTGATGAAAGTCACATGATAAATCAAAGCTCATCACAAGCTGCTCCTCCACAAGAAAGTTAATAGTAATATAAAGAAGCTGGACAGTGTCATTCGCACAAACATTAAACACCATCATGGTAGCACATGAAATTTAAACATTAATTTAACAACATTAAATGTAACATAAAACTCTAATGTACATAACTGATAAGAAAATAACTAAGAAAACTAAGAAGAAACCGTTTTTTTTAACAAAAATACATCAAATGTGAAGTGTCACGCAGGGAATTGTGGGAATGTCAATTTACGGTTTTTCACTGTAAATTATACAATGAGTTGTTCTTTTTCACTTTCAAAAACGGTAAATTTAACGGGGTTTTTTTACAGTAAAATTACATTAAATGTACCGTTAGATCTATCACAGTTATTTACCGTATATACATATAGTAAGGAAACTTTCTGTTAACCAATTAACAGTTTTTCACTGTAGCCTTTTTACGGTCTTTTACCGTTAAAATCACGATAATTTTTTACAGTGAAAAAAGCTGCTGAAGACTCTTGAAGTCTGAGTGTGAAGTATTCCTGTAAGTGGACAAGAAAGTGAATGTTACCTCTTCTGTTTCAACAGTGTATTTCAGATCATCAGTGAGGTTCCTCAGAGCCGGCGTGTTTCGGTACAGATGCAGAGGGTTGACGAACTGGATGTGAAGTTTCCCGTCATTGGGAGAAAGTTCAACCTCGGGAAAATCCAAATAACCTGAAGGCACAATAGTACTGTTAGATCATACTGCATGTGCTTGCTCTACGATAGATGATATTTCAGAGTTCAACCAATAATACAGGCTAAACATACACTTGAGTTTGCTGGTGGCAAGTTTATTGAAGCTGAAAGAATCATCGGAGACGCACGGATCTGAACTCTTCCCTCCCCGCACGGCCGTCACAGAGACGAAGTAGACATTGTATGCTGAATTAAACAGCATACTGGATATGTTTAAACTTAGATTTCTTGTGGTGTCATATTTCCTGGAACACAGATAAATAATTACAGTGAGCAGACAAAACACTTTCAAACAGCCTTATGGTTTGACTAATACTTTAAAAGGATTGAGCAGACATTTTATCAAGCTAAAAATGAACATTTAAAGACTATGAAAGGCTGTGAAGCTGTTGTTGTTTGCCGGGTTTTTTCCCCCCAGAACATTTACCTTTCATTGGGATTGACTGACTCTCCCACCTCCACCAAGAAGTGTACGTCCTGACTGAGATCGGGATATTCCCATCGCACTTCAACTCCATAGTTGTCACACTGAATGGACAGGTTGACAGGAGGAGACGGCCGACTCACGGCTAAAAGAGAGTTGAGCATATTAGAGTCTGACCACCTGATTTCTTATTATCCTAAATTAAACAATGCGCAGGGTTCCCATTCAAAGTACTTTAAAAAGACATGAATACTGTGACGTATGTGGGTAAAACTTCAAAATTTCTAATATAATTATACATGTTGTATAGTGAAAATTAAGCCTGTTTTTAGGACCATTCTTCTTTTTTTCTGCGTTGTAACATTATTCTTAAGACAATTAAATTAAATTCAAATTTATTTGTATAGCGCTTTTCACAATACATATTGTTTCAAAGCAGCTTTACAGAAAGTGCATTTCAGAAATGTACATAGAAAAAATACAGTTAATCATGTATTTTCATTACTATAATGCATAAAAGTTATATATTTAAATATTCAGTTATTTTTGTAAAGTACAGTTATTTAGTAAATTATTCATGGAGTAATAATAACAATAATGGTAGTATTTGTTTTACTGAATATATATATATAGCCTACACTACCGTTCAAAGGTTTGGGGTGGGTACAGTAAAAAACACAAAAACAGTGAAAATAGTAATATTATGAAACTAATATGATTTAGAAACATTTCTTATTATTATTATTATTAATGATGAAAACAGTGTACAATTTTTTTTCTCCGAATGATTCTTTGATGAATAGAAAGTTCAAAAGAATGTGAAAGTTCATTTATATGAAATAAAAAAACGTTGTAACATTATAAACATCTTTACTGTCACTTCTGATTAATTGAATGCATCCTTGCTGAATAAAACTGTTAATTTTTTTTTCATGGTAGTGTTTTATCTAATTATTTTTGTCCAGAAATTTTTTTTTCATTACTGTTTTACAGTAGAAAGTGATTTTTGAATCACAAAAAAAGTGCATTGATAAAGAAATGTTCTTAATTTTCATAAAAATAATGCTGGAATAACAAAAATATCTTAATAGTCTTGAAACAGGGTTAATTTGCTTCATGTACACAAACTATAATTTTTTTTTTTTTACACGTAAACAGACACAGTTTCAGTCATTTCTGTTGTATTGTTTCAGACCGAGCCACTGCCACACACCAACAAACAACGACTTTCAGCAGTTAGTGCTGGATGATTGTTGGTGTTTGTTGGGATGAACAAGTCTTTACAGGCTCCACGTCCCCAGTTGACCTTTCCCAGCATTCGCTCACTTCAAGATTTCATGATAAACCGATACCTCTTCCCATGCTTCCCGCTGGCTCTTCAAGCTAAACACCCACTCACACACACGCTCACACTTGCTGTATGCTATCAGACGCCATTTAACCAGCACGCACACTATTATTCCCGTCGATCGAGACAGTTTCTGTCTGCTGCCATGTGTGTGCTGTTAAAATTTTATCCAGTCTTTGGACTTTGCACAGCTAATGCCTTCAGATGTGTTTCAAAAAGACTATAAAGTCATTTGATTGTTGTAATGCGACGTATTTATGAGTAGCCTATTTTGCATGCAAAAAAATGCGTTTTATTCTCCTGAGTTGGCTTGCCCTCATATTTTTCTCCACACTCTTAATTTGTCTTTTATGTCAGATTGCTACAAGTTATGTAATGAGAACAAAGACAAATTAAATGGAGTAATGATGCTGAAAATTCAGTTTTGCATCACAGAAATAAATTACATTTTATATTCACATAGAAAACTACGGAAGCGTATTGCATTCACTTGAGGAAAAAAAATCGACTCTGTTTTTCTGAATTAACGAGTTAATTATCTCAGAATCACGAGATAATTTTTCATGGAAAAAAAGTTTTTGCTCTGTTTTTTTTTAATTAACGAGTTAATTATCTCAGAATTACGAGATCATTTTTCATGGAAAAAAGTTTTTGCTCTGTTTTTCTGAATTAACGAGTTAATTATCTCAGAATTACGAGATAATGTTTCATGGAAAAAAGTTTATGCTCTGTTTTTCTGAATTAACGAGTTAATTATCTCAGAATTACGAGATAATTTTTAATGGAAAAAAGTTTTTGCTCTGTTTTTCTGAATTAATGACTTAATTATCTCAAAATTATGAGTAACTCATTAATTCATAAAAACAGAGTGAAAAAAAATGTTTTTCAAGAAAAATGTATCTCATAATTATGAGATAACTAACTCGTTAATTCAGAAAAACAGAGTAGTTTTTTTTTCCTCAAGTGAATGCAATACGCTTCCGTAGTAAACAGTTATTTTAAATTGCAATAATATTTCACATTTTTACAACGTTCGTGTTTTACCGCAGGACAGCAAATGCGAGTGAGTTTTCTGTCATCTTTGCAGGACTGTGATATGAAGAGTTTGCAAAGTAACTTATTTTAGCAACTGTGTGAAAGTGAAAAGCACATAACAGCCACAATACCAATATTAACATATGGGTTCAATATGTGTCACATGACTACTGTGATTATTTTAATTTCTATGTAAAGCACTTTGAATTACCATTGTGTATGAAATGTGCTATATAAATAAACTTGCCGTGCCTTGTCTTACTGAAAATGGAGGTATTTAAAAACAATGACATAAGTCATGTGACGGATTAATGTAGACGTACAGCCTGAGTGTGGACAAAGCCTTGATCAGCCTCATCAGTCAGTCACTTGTCACATGTGCTATTTTTGTGGTGCTTTTTTTGGGGTGTAATGACGCTCTCAAACATGTTTTCCCAGTTCTGACTATTGACCAATAGCTATCCATGACTAATCGTTCCATCACCGAGAACAACACAAACACACACACACACACACATCCGCCCACTTCTCTCATCGCTGACATTCTGAGAAATTACAGAATAGAACAAGATACCTGGTGTCAATCAGTCTGTCTTATGCTCTTTTCATAAGAAAGAACAGGCCGAACTTCTGAGAACATACAAGCTCCCACCCAAAACATCTCACATTACAACAAAAAAATGTGTTTTACTTCCGGGACCAAGTTTAAAAAAAAAAAAAAAAAATTAATGGAGTTGAAATTGGCTTCAAATTGCGTTATGACTGAAATCAGATCTATTTGTGCAGAACAATAATTTACCCAATCTAAATGGAGGCCTTTTACACCTGCCATTTATCACATTTGAAACTTCTAATCAGATTTATTTGCAAGTCAGCGGTTATATGCTTGAACTTTTACCTTTTTTATGGATTTAGTTAATGTGTAGAGTACAGTATGTCGTGTCAGGACTGTACTTCTGGCCAGATGTCTCATTTTTAACCATGTGTGAAATGTTAAATTGTGAATGACAGGACTGACAGTAAAGAGAGAAAGGTTTGAGTCCCTCTCGGATGAGTTTTTCAAACACCTGCGTTTGGGATTAATCTCAAGTGTGAGTGCAATTAAAAAAGAGCAGCCGTCCCAGCCCTTTGGACCACATAAAACCATGCTCTTATTCTTATCATGTTAAACAACACTGTAAAAATAGCTCTAAGAGCAAAGACCTTTAGAAATCAAGATATGATAAGATTCAAAATGGGTTTTTCCAATGAATGATTCATATTCAATCCTGAATATGTGCATGATGCCATTTAAAGGCAACTGGAAGAAAACATACAATGTCACTGTAAAAAAATTATATGATGAATAAGTTATGTTTGTACACTGCTTTAACTCATCAAAATAAGTTAAGCAATTTTCCACTTTTCTGTAAGTTATACAAGATTCAACTCATTCTTTAAGTCAGTTAATGCAGTTTAAGTTGAAATCACTTAAACATCCAAGTTGTTTGTACTTAAAGTTAAAGGCAGCAACTTTTCTTTTTTTCAGTGGGTTTAGTGATTAGAATATGTTTGAATATACATTATACATTTGGAATTCACTTTTATCCAAAGCAACTAGCCAAAAATGTAGGCTATATCAGTTCTTGCAACGAACCCATTGACATTTGACCTAATCTAAAGTAAAAAATTCTAACATAAATCTGTAATCATTAATTAACAATATTTAGTGACACTGAATGGGTATATTTACTATTTAATTTTTACAATATTTAATGACACTATAACAAAAACAAATATTTTACGGATACATATGTTAAAAAGTAAATAATAAATGTATTCAGTATTTATTATTCAAATTGAATACATAATAACACTTCAAGCTAATACATAATAATATTATATTAATACGATACTAATAAAATAAAATCATCTTACCCTCTGAGGTGGATTTCTGGATTAATATCAAGATGACACTGACACTGATATAGATCCGTATCCGCATTATTGCCAGCGAGTTTTAATCCAGTATTCACATATTATATATTCGAGTAAACACAAAATATTAATCCTGTAGAAATTATTGTTCTTCAAGTGTAGTAAACCCCATTTTCGGTAAAAATCTGAATACTTTCACAGCGACATGAGACAGTGACAACGCGCGCGGTTGCAACGAAACGTCGTTCGTTGCCTCTTCAAGGAAATGACGCGCGCGCGTGTGTGTGTGTGTGATTTGCGCTCACTCCCTCAGGCACGACAAAGGTGTTTACAGGTATCTACAGGTAACGCACTTACTCACTTCACGGAGTGTGTCACTTGTTAAGGCTTGACTCAAACTCAACGGATATCATTACAGTAATGAATGAAAATCATTCCGACAGAATAGAGCGGGTTCGTTCATTTACGCGTGTTTAATTTTAAAAGCGGAAGCTTTTACCTTCATCTGTGTACTGTCTGTAGCCTATGTGGGATCAGATTTCCATCTCTCGGTTTAAATGAGATGGTGCCCTCTAATGTTATACGACTACATTACATTAGGTTACGTGTGAAACACATGATTCAACTTCACTGATATAGTGCCTGTTCTCTGGGAGTGAGAAAGATTATTTACTTGGATCTGTGTGTTATTGGTTTCTCAATTAATATGCTGTTGCGCCAAAATTTGAAAACCTTCAAATGCAATTTAAGGATTAGGACAAACTCAAGGACATTATAACTTATAAAGGTTATTTTGTGTGTTATTGAGCTAAAACCATCGACGCCTGAGTCAGCAGGATATGAGCATCGAGCACATGCTTAATTACCATTGTTTGTTTATGCATCTGTTTTTTATTTGTATACTTATGCTCCTTACTTTGCTGTCTTATTTGCATAGAATTAATTGAGACCAGGATCCAGAGAGGAGGGAACTGTATCTTCTATGGGAAAAAAAGAAGTATAAGAGAGACCGAAAACAAGGAAAGAAAAAAAGCATAGAAGAATGCAATGAGGTAGAAAAGGTGTTGAGGCGAAGGAGATGGAGAGCAGACCAGGCAAAGACCAGTGCAGCATAAAAGGCTACTGCAGTCAACAGCCTGTCCACACCTCCAGAGTCCCGAGTCTGATCACCAACCGAACCCGGGGATCAAGCTATGAATATGCTAGCTATGAAGAGGCTTTGGTGCCAGTGCCCCTGGATCTCAGGCCTTCAGTTTCCTGCGTGACAGCAGCCAAACTCCAATACAAGACAACACAGTTGACTGGACCAATTCCGCGGTCATTGGAAAGTGGTGTGTGGTTAAATATGGAGATGACCTTTACCCCGGGACGTCCAGGTGAAATGCATGCACAGCAGAGGTCCGAACAGATTCTCTTGGCCTATTCGATATTATGTACTTTGGTATCTATTAGATGATGTACTTCGTCTCATCCCTGCTCCTTTACCAGTCACTGCCCGCCGCCATGTTGAGATACAGAGAGATGTATGGTTAGAGCTTGCAAAAATGACATTTGACAGTCAAACAGATCTCACCATAGTAACCTAACCTGCACTATATTGCATTTTGGACAAGACCCGTTTTAAAATAAATGTCTTCGTCTCTGAAATGGGACAGTTTCAGTATCTGAATGGCAATTATGATATAAAACAGAATTTTTTCAAATATGACTATCTTAATGAAAAGAGGGACCAAAATACTACTTATATATGTGCAAACTGTTGCATATTTGTAATTGTAAGTGTTCTAACACTCAGTAACAGGACTGAGGAAAATATCAAAACATGAAGTCGCTCTTAAAAATTCATCAAAATGTACCAATTGGCAAACATTTGATTGCAAAACACTGTTATAAAATGTTGAGAACAGGATCAGGATGTGGAACAGGACGTGGCTCTAAACTGTTGTCGTCCTCCTGAGCAACATCAATGTCAGCTCAATATCAGCACTGAACGCCAGGCTTCTACTTTAACCTGTAATATCGTCTGGCGTTCATGAGAGCTGTACATCAGGCATGGAGAGAGATTACTCTGGAGCGAGTGACCCTTCCCCTCTGGATTTGAAGTTTTCTGCGTCACTTATATAATACATAAGAGCTGGATCTGTCTGGAACAGGCTAAAACTGAGCAGAAAATCACTTGAAGGGGGGTGGGGGGGGTTTGAATATTTTTACTTCATTTATTTGGCAGAATGAGGATCTCAATTAGAGTGGCGGCATTAAATTAAACAAATGCTTTTATAAAAACAACTTATAAAACTTGATGAAAACACAATGATGCACAGCATTGTTTGAAATGTCATGCAAGTAAATCAATAAATTACTTGATTAAACTTAACATTTACACGAAACGGCCAAAAGATTCACTAAAATTATTTTGACTTCTGCTACATAACAGTTAACATTACATGAAGATTATATCAGTACAACGTGTTTAAAAACAAATACATTTTATACTTTTTTATATGGCTTAAATACAGTAAGAAAGTTTGGGTCGGTAAGATTTGTAAAACTTTTTGAAAGGAGTGTTCACTAAGGCTGCATTTATTTGACCAAAAACACAGTAAAACAGTAATGTGTCACATGATCCTTCAGAAATCATTCTAATATGATGATTTGATGCTCAAGAAACATTTCTGATTATTATCAATGTTGAACATAGTTGTGCTGCTTCATATTTTTGTGGAAACTGTGACATGTTTCGTCTTAATCCCAGACAGCAACATAGTGTCGACCCAGACCCGGCCCACATCTGTACATGTGGATTCAATGCGTTGCATACCGGATGGGCCGGATCTGGGCCGATACTATGTTGCTGTCTGGGATTAAGACGAAACCCTAAAGTGCCAACATCGAACACACATAAACACTAGCAATAAGAAACAGAAAGAGGTGAGTTAAGCCTCTTAAAGGATTACAGCTGCTGTGCTTTGTGGAAGCAGATGTGGAGGGAGTGATCACTGAACAAACAAGGTGACAGGTGCGTGAGGAGACACTCATGTGACTGGATGGTTATTATTAAAGTGTGTTGTTTTTGTGCCAATAGTGTCTGTCACTAAACGCCATTGGGTGAGGCAAATACAATAGATTTTAATTCGCCACTTCATCTCATATGTATACACAGAGGCGGAGTTTTCAAACTATTCACTTCTTTATTAACTGAGTGCACCGTTATCAATAGGCTAAAACTGTGAAGTATCAGGTAAAGACTTATGAAGACACCCCAGGGTTTTTATTTGTACTCTTTCACATTTAAGTACACAGAATACATTTTTACTTTTTCTCTCTAACAGATAAAATACACACTCCGTCCCATTTACACTATAATACCCTTACACACAGAAAAGCCATTACAGATTTTCAAATAGCTGCAATATGTTGAGAGCTCAGCGGTTGCCTCCAGCAGAAACATGGGTCAAGGGCACAAACACACACAACGCTAAATCATCAAATCCCTGGCAAATGTCTCATCCTCCCTTAATGCCCTCCATAAGCATCACACACCAAAAGGCCCCCCCCCGCCCCCCGTAGTGATGCAATAGAAGAACCATTGTTGCTTCCCCAAAGAACCTTTTAGTGGACAATGTAAAAAAACTGACAATTAGGCCTATACATATTGGCTCAATAAATGACTTCCAAATAATTTTCCATGCAAAAAGATGCATTGTAGCCTACTAATCATACCCTCAAGCCATCCTAGGTGTAAGACATTCTTCTTTCAGACGAACACAATGAGTTATATTAAAACATGTCCTGGCTCTTCCAAGCTTCATAATGGCAGTGGATGGCCGTTTATGTTTTGAAGTCCATAAAAGCGCATCCATCCATGATAAAAGTAACCCACACGGCACTGAAGCAAATCGATACGTTCGTGTAATGGCGCTTTTCCACTGCACAGTGCGGTACGGTTCGGTTCGGTACGGCACGCTTTGGCGCTTTTCCACTGCATAGTACGGTACGGTTCGGTTCGGTACGGCTCACTTGTGGTGCTTTTCCACTGCATGGTACGGTACGGTTCGCTTCGGCTCGCTTTAAATGGTACCTGGTCTGTTGAGGTTCCAAGCGTACCGTACCGGTACTAAAATGTGACGTAAAAACACTGCAGATCACTGATTGGTCAGACAGAATCGTCACTACCAGCGTCATTGGATTTGTGACACGAGACCCTAAACCCGCTAGATTTAAATAACCAGTAGACAACAGCCAACGCGGTAGCATCTGTTTTTTACTTTCTTGGAAAAAAAAGAGATCAAAACTTTAAAAAAGAAATGGCTGAATCGTGGTCAGTGGACGAGGTGCAGACGTTCCTCTCGTTGGTTGCCGAGGAGCGGATCCAGCGAGAGCTGGATGGGGCAAAACGGAATGAAAAAGTGTTCCAAGAAGTAACTTAGCTCAGCTCTTAGCCGCACACGGCTATCACCGGACCTACAAAGTGTAGGGACAAAATAACGATCAGTCCCACCCACTTTGAAGGGGTACTAACTGCGGTGGAAAAGCAACCGAGCTAAAGCGAACCGAACCGTGCCGTACCGAGTCGAGTCGTACCACGCAGTGGAAAAGTGAAGCGAGCCGAACCGTTCCGCGCCGAGTCGAACCGTACCGAGCCGTACCATGCAGTGGAAAAGCGCCATAAGAAAAAATATCCATATTTAAAACTTTATCGACTAAAATAACTAGCTTCCGGCAGACGGCCAATGCAAGTCGACTTACGCCAAAAGAGTAACACTTGACGATGTATTGGCGCTTTTCCACTACACAGTACCAGCTCGCCTTGGCTCGGCTCGGCTCGACTCGACTCGCCTTTGTTTGGTTTTCCACTGTGTAAAAGTTGTACCTGTACCTGCTTTCGGGTACTTTTTTTCGTACCACCTCCGGCGAGGTTCTAAGCGAGCTGAGGCGAGCTAAGCCGATACTAAAATGTGACGTGAAAACAATGCCGACTGCTGATTGGTCACAGAGAATCTGCGTCATCATTGCACGCGCCAGATGGAGTATCCAGAATAACCCCGCCATTTTTAAATAGTTTGGCCAGAGATAGTTACTAAACTTACTACTATTATAATGGCAACTCGGAAGAATACGCCGTGGTCAAACGAGGAGGTGCAGACATTCCTTTGTTTGGTTGCCGAAGAGAGGATCCAGCGAGAGCTTGATGGGGCAACGAGAAACGAAAGGCGTCGCTATGACGACCGGGTACTATTTGTGGTGGTACTT